AACCAAAACTGAAAGCTGAATGTAATGTAACGTATATAAACACTAATATATTATAATAGAGGTTGATATATGATCGGACGATGATTAATAAATAAGAGTATGGGTTAGACTACTCAACCCCATTATTAATTTAAGTATTAACTTTTTAGTTATTAAATTTTAATAGTGAAATTTTTAAATTTTCAAAATAATAATTATGGTAGCACTAATCGAACGTAGAAAAATATTTTTAATTAAAAAATCAAGCGTCAGAAACAAGTAGCACCAGTGGTCTAGTGGTAGAATAGTACCCTGCCACGGTACAGACCCGGGTTCGATTCCCGGCTGGTGCAATCTTTTTGAAAATTTATGGATTTCTTTTCCTAATATTTTATGCTTTCCTTTGTCAATTTCAATAATTGGCCAAGAATAAGATTATTTTTTAAAGCCCATTTTATGTATGCCGGTAACCAGTTAAACCTTAAAAGCAACAAGATTTTAAGAGCGCAAAAGTCGAGTATTCTCTTTGTCAATTATAAGCTCTCACAGAGAGTAAAGAAAGAAAATAAAAGAGAAGAGGAGTTGGAATATGTTTCTTTCAACATTCATTTCAGTTTTCTCAATAAAATAAATTTCAAATACCATTTAGGATAAAAAGAAAGATCGCTTTCTGATTCTTTGAACACCCATTTTAGTTGTCTTAACAAAATCTCTCTTTTTTCAGTTCAAAAATCAGTACTTTTTTTTAACAATGTAACTTGTTTGTGCTAAACTTAAGAGTTTGGTGCAATATGTAAGTTAGGAATGTTTGATATGTAGAACAAGTGAATCATTTATATAGTGTTACTTGAGAAACTTTGGTGCTCTAAGGACCAGCTCTAATGGGGACTTTAACCTAACATTCAAAAAAGTTTCATATTTTCATGTTGGTAATTTCTTTTTGTCAATGCAATCATTAAACTATTTTTTTCATAGAATAATAGTATATGACTTGTAAATTATTAGTCACTTTGTGTTATACCTTTAAGATTTAAGTAAATGATATTTTCAATTAAAAAGAGTAAGATTTTTTATTTGAACAAAAAAAGATAGGGATTTTAAAGATGGGAATAGTCTACTGTGTGATTATGACTTTTTCACATCAATTTTTAAAGCTGTTTGATCTCTTTTCACTTAATTTCAGGAACCTAAATCACTAGGGATAAAAAGAAGTTCTATTGATTCTTGCATTCTCTATGTGGAAATGTTAACAAAAGAAATGGTTGCAATCATATTCCCAAATATATGATTTTTTAACAATTGGGCCTATAGAAACATATATTGTAGAGGATGATACATAATAAATTTAACTGAAAATATAACATTCAAGTTATCATCTTTGAAGAATTTAGAAATGAATTGTTAGCAACAGAGAGATCTTGTTTCTACGAACCTTAATCATTCTGATTCAGTTGAAAATAAGGTAAAAATGAACTTTCCTGATTCCCTAATGATTGATAAAGATGCTTTGACACCCAATTTTATGTTATAGTTTTCTTGATAAAATAAAAAAAAGACACTTGATGAACTACTTTCTCATTTCCTGATCGACGTAATTGCTAATTTTATTTGCTTTATAGGTCCCAAAATTGAGGTCTGGATGGAGGAGTCTAATTGGAGTCTACGACTCTCTAATGGGAATTATTTTCTTTGATACAACTGACATATATGGACTACATATAAATGAAGTTCTCGTTGGAAATGTACACACTTTCACTAGCAAAATTTGTTGGTAAGGGATTGATAAGATGTCTATCTACGATTGAGATAAAAAAACTATATAAATAAATTCACTACTCAGTATTTATTGTTATAACTGACAACAGTCCTTATCTTACAGTCCTTGAAGCAATTGCCCAGAGAAAAAGTTCAATTGGCCACAAAGTTTGGCATTGTAGCTAGTCCGAGTGAGAAGGACAATCTTGAATATGTGCAGCTCGTTGTGAAGCCAACTTGCAGCGTTTTAGTATAGATTATATTGATCTGTACTCAGCATTGAATAACAAATCAGTACATATAGAGAAAACTTTGAGTAATTCTCTTCCTTTCTCAGCAGAACAACTGATGTTAGAATTTTATGTAATTTTTTACTTATCTGTTTAGTATTTTCTTCAAGTATAGATGAGTGAATTGAAGAAACTAGTCGAAGAGTGAAAGATCAAATACATTAGGTTATTTGAAGCAAGTCCATACAAAATAAGGAGGGCACATACAGTTCATTCTATTACATCTGTGCAACTGGAATGATCTCTATGGACTTGAGATGTTCCAGTTTGCAGGTTAGCTAAATTCTAGTTGACTTCGTAATAAAATTTGACCTTGTTAATCACTTGACTTGAAAAGTCTCTCGAAGATAAAGTAGATGACTTGTTTATTCACTTTCAAAACAGTAGAGATTAACTTATTTGTAGGGATATTGGCATTAAGATTGTTATGTACTCTCGTCTCAGCCATGGGTTTTTTTAGTGGTAAAGCTGTTAAGACACAAACGTCTCTACTTTCTCATTCACTACACCATGTAAGTCTATATGCATATACATCATATATATATGTATGGAAGTGTATATGCATATATATATATATATATATTATACTCAGAATATAAAAAAAGAAAAAAAAGGATGGCATATGATTTCATATGGTCAAACATCTCCATCCACATGCCTGAAATCCTTTGGACCGAGTCTACAATTGAACCAGTAAAATCCCTAACAGGTCCACAATTCAGCCCAATTTGTAATTGAATCGGGCTAACCGACCCGAATCCGGCATCTTTTCCCAGTCGTTCGGTCTTAGATTCCCGTTGTCTGTGTAAGAACAGGCAAACAAACCCCGGGAGGAATTACAGACCGATCACATATGCCTATAGCAATCTCAAGTACGTAAGCATGGGAGAGGGAGGAGAAACTATAGAACAACGTCGAAGCTCTCTCGCGGGACCTCTCATCTTCCTTATCGTTCTTGTCTTCCATTTCCTCTCCCGAAGGCTGGAGCAATTGAAGAAGGTCATTTGGCCATTTTTTGTCAAATTAAACATTCTGATTGAGAATCGTGCTTTTAAATTACCGTTATTTGATTTGACTCTGGTTTCCTCGGCAGAGGGGATCAAAGAATGAAACAGAAATCCAGTTGCGGGCGGATATAAAGCAACTCCTGAAAGAGGCAAGCTCCTTGTCACAGTGAGTCATTCCTCGGCAGTGAGGCATTCGTTGCTGATTTTAACGGGTATTATGATATCTAGAGCATCTATTTGGATATATTTATTTTTGCTAATTTTTGTTGCCTGAAATATCACCTCTTACTAATAATGGATGTTATGATTAAGTTAATTTTAGTAACAGTGTCCGGAATATCATTTATGGCAAATTATGTTGACATAGTAGCTTCGTTAGGTTTAAATTTTGAGCTCCTGAAAATGGTAGTAGCATTATATCATGGAATGAGGGAGAGATGCATTGGTTTTCCTGTTGATTCCAGGCCATCAGCATTTGCACAAGCTGCAAAACTTTGGAGGTTAGCAGCTGCTAAGGAGAAGGAACTTGCAAACTGTAAGTTTGTTTGCACTCACAACTACATTAACCCGCACGAGATGGTTATATACACTTTAAAAGCTAATATTTCTCTGGTTTATTGCACAATCTACTTGGCTGTTTTGGACTTATGGAAATGTTTGAAGAAAAATCATTGATTGACAAGTACTTTTCTTATGATTGCATAAATTATCATATCATTTATTTTATATGTGTTCTAGAAGCTAATTTTCTGTAAGCTTTTTTACCATGAAAATTGAACTGGGTAGATAATTGGAGAAAGGATTGTGCTTATTTTGCATTCATATTTCTTTTCTGTTTCAAAAGAAAAAGTTTAGAGAAAGAGGTTAGAAGAGGGCCTATTTCTTTGGAGACTACTGTGAACTAATGAATATCAAAGAGTACGACTAACACAGACGACAGACGTGCGGCTGATTATATGTTTCTTTCCAATAATTTGTTTAGCATACCTTTTGTAATTATTGGCAGTAGTTTCTAAAAGTAGAATTACCTAAAATGTGGTATGTCTGGACTGTGGTGCAGGGTATTGGTAAGAAATATTATAGATGCTAAATGTAGGTACTACATAGGATTAGATACTAAATTTGTGCTTGAAAGAGGGTAGGCTAAGTCTCTACATTATTTTGATCTGAAGTACCGCTGAACAACTTATTAGGTTTATTATTTGGTTGTTAAGTAATAGTTTAGTAATACAATCTGTTGTATTGGATCAAATCTAGGATTCAAATCCTTTTTATAGCTACGACAAGAATATCAATATTCATGTTATAAATTTTTAAAGAACCAAGTAAATGTACTATATGTCTCTAAAGAAGATAAACAAGATA